AATTACCAGTAAAAAGACAGCCTACGGAATGAGAGAGAATCTTTGCCAGTCATTCTTCCAGAATGTGTGAGGAACTCAAAAAACTTAACTCAAAAATAATCCAATCAAAAATGGGCAAATAAACTGAATAGACATTTCCCAAAAGACAAAATACAAATAGCCAGTGAGTACATCCTTTGCTATCAGGGAAATACAAATCAAAACAACGCTGAGATTCCATCTCATCCCAGTGAAAAGGGCTATCATAATGAATGCAAAAGCAAACAGTGTTGCGGTGCACACCCGCAACCCCAGCACTCTCAGAGTCTGAGATACGAGGGCTCCAAGTTCAAGCCCAGCCCAGACAACTTAGTGACTTAATGAGACGCTGTCTCAAAATAAACAATAATAAAAGAGTTAGAGATGTAACTCAGTGCAAAGAGCCTAAATTCAATCCCTAGTACTGCAAAGAAATAAGCAAACAATAATAAATGCTGATAAGGATGCAGGAAAAAAAGGAACCCTTCCACGCTGTGGTGGGAATGTTAATCAGTAGAGCCACTACGGAAACCGGTATGAAGATTTCTCAAAAACTGTTCAAAAGAAAAGACCATCTACAATGGGGAAAGGGGGAAGGAAGAAAGGAAAAAAGGAAAAAATATATGCAGACACCAGATAGTTAAGATTGTTATACAGCTAGTTTCTCTTAGTTCACTAAAAAAAAAAAGGTTTCTGCTAATATTGTATAGACAAGGTATCATGCCTGTATCTTCTACTCTGAATAACTCCTAGGAAGACAACAATATGCTATGTATCAACTATTGTAACTGTCCTACTAACTTGTTTGGAAACTCAGTTTCATTGTTATGTTTGTCTTTTTTTTTTCCTCTCTCTCTCTCTAAAATAAAACTAAAAATAGAACTAACATAAGACTCTGCTATAACCACCCTTAGTATATACCTGAAGTAATTAAGGTCAACACATTATAGAGATATCTACAAACCCATGTTTACTGCAACACAATTCACAGTAGACAAGATACCCAGCCAGCCTAAATGCCCATCCCTGGATGAATAGATAAAGAAAATGTGGTATATATACATAATGGAGTATTATTCAGCCGTAAAGAAGAATAAAATTATGTTGTTTGGAGGACAATGGATGGAATTGGAGATCATCAAGCTAAGCTAGACTCAGAAAGGTTAAGTGTTGTATATTTTTCTACACATGTAAAATCTTAAAAAACACAGGATGACATAAAAGTAGCAAGGAAACTATTAGATGAGAGGAAGGGAATCAGGGGGAGGGATATACGAGGGATATGCATCTAAGAAACGGCTAAAATGGAACCCAGTACTTTGTAAAATTAATATGTACTAATATATACAGCAGATATCCAGACCGGCAAGATGGTGAAGGTTCGAGAACAGACTGGCACTGAAGATGGGAAATATGCCAAACAGGCTGCCAAGCAGAGGCGCCAGGGGGAACGAGGGAAACAGAGGGGCTCGACCTGAAACACAGGAGGAAGGCACGATGTTCTGCTGACTCGCGGGCACTGCAGAGTCCCAAACGGTCACTACTGTCCGTACTATGTTCTACATGTCTCTGCACTACGAAAGTCACAACGCTGCCAAGGGAAGCGGCCCTGCCACCTCCGGGTGCATCCAATTTTACCAGTGCTGACACACGACAAGCTGTACACACCGCAACTGAGAAGAGCGGGCGGCTGGGCCTCCCTCTCCGGTGTGTAGCCCGGGTAAGGCCCGAGATGGGGACAGAAACACAGCAATACCACATTCTCCTGCTGCTCCCTGCTGCTGGCCCCAAGCAGGAAACTGGGAAGATGGAAGATGACACTGTCTTAAAAATGAGCACCACAGGGGGGTTTAATAGCATGGGCAACGTTTGGCACGATGCTAAACAACAAAAAACTGAACCATGAAGGTAAACAGTACCTTCTCTAGTCGCAAAGAAGGATTATGTAGAAGCGCTTCAAGGGTCAATAGTTAGCATCTCAAGCTGGACTTAGAGGTAATTTCTTTCCTCATTACTTTGTGTTTCTCTCTACTTTCAAACATTTTCACAATCCACACATACTATTTTTATACTCAGAGATGAGAAGGTCAAACAGTAAATACTTGCTTTGTAAGTAGCAAATTGTGGGCCACATGTAAGCACTGGTCTTGTCAAGTATTAGGTAGAGAACTACCTAATTACCGTACACTCAGCCTCCCTAACATGGGAGCAATAATGAGGTGAGGTCAGAACACCCTAACATTGTACAAAGAGGACAGTGTTCGTTTCTGATATCCAACAACATGTACTGCAGGTAATTATGTTTGTCTTTTCCTTTTTAAATATGAGCTTTCAAGAATGGCAGTGCTACTGCTTCAACATGGACAGGATTAAGTGTTTCCGTTTCCTACAGGGTCTGGACTGGTATAATTGTGAGCCAGCAGAAACGCATATGGTCACACTGCTGATAAAGGTCTACTGCTGAAGGTAGGCAGTGTTTGTCTTGCACAAGGATTACTCTTTCTAAAAAAACTGGGAAGTAGCCGTGAGCCAGAAATAGCAGCTAACGCATTTTTCGCCCTGTTATCTTGACAGAATTGTTTTGGAGCCCCACATACTCAAGTACCAATATATTCTTCTCCTCATATTGCAAAGGAACATTTTGACAAAGATAAAGATCAGAAATGTAAATGCTGTGACTGCCAAGAGTCAAAAAACAAAATACTCTACCTTCTACTTCGGACAGCACTGGCATAAATAAGTAGATGGAAAATGTGGGGATAAATCAAATTTCCTTGTTTGTAAGATTCAAAAAATTCTCTCTCCTAATGCCCTTCCTTGCTCAGGTATACTAAACACCCAAGCAAGTAACAGAAGATAATAGTGTGGATGTTCTCATTAAGATATTTCATACAGCACTTCTACTTAAAAACTCAAATGATATCATATTTTGTTAATATTTTTATATCTAATAAATATAGCTATAACATACATGTTTACTCTTGAGTGCTAAAGGCAGTAAAACAATCCTATCTTGCTGGGTTTCTTTTTTTTTTGGAGACAGGGTCTCGCTCTGTAGCTCAGACTGGCCTTGAACTCACTACACAGCCCAGGCTGGCCTCAACCTCCCGGCAATCCTCTTGCCTCAGCTTCCTGTGTGCTGGGATTACAGGGATTATCAACTATTCTGAAGAAAATAACATCTTGAGTTAATTTAACCTTTTAAGAGTGGCTTCCAACCACAGACCTCTCTTAAATGGCAACATAAACAATAAAAGAATAAAAAGCATTAACTCTAATTACTACAAAACGCTTAGAAAACAATTGCCCTAAATTGTGAGCAAATAGTTTAAATGGCCCAAGGCAACTTTTCCACCTGGAGTTACAGGAAGGCAACAGTGAAGTTATGTTTAAAACGTCCTGAGTTTGACTGCTAGTAGCAAAAAAAAAACAACAAAAAAATGCTCCTGTGTTAGAAAATACTGTAGAACTCAACGTTACTACATTACTACCAATGAGACAACCCAGAGTACTTGGAGTGGAACATCCAAAGCCTAGTGACTTCAGGCTGAGAAGTCCTTTTGTGGAAAATTCTGGCCAAAGAAAAAAGCAGGCTATGAAGCTCTTCTGCTAATGCCTTCTTGGTACCCTCCACGCTCTGACTCCAAACCCACCCAAGACAACAGTCTCCGATGTGTCTCAGAGTGTCTGCGAGCTCCTGACACTGAGTCTCCACTAAACACTGACTCGGATGCTCTGTGTCTTCTGTCCCGGTAACCAGTGAAGAGGGTCAGCCGGAGGCAAAGCCCAAAGACAGGACAGCCTTCTACTTTTGTAATAATCCAAGACAATTGAGAAACAAAAGCGGTGTCTTTTTAGATTTTTTTTAAAAACAACACCACTGTTAAAAGAGCATGAAAAAAATTAAGTAGCTGAACAGCCAGAAAAATGCATACAACATAACACTAAGCTCTATTAAGTTTCCATTCATTCATTCTTTAAAAAAAAAAAAAATTATTAAAGCCATAAAACATGCTGTGCTAGACACTACAGAATTCAGGCATGCGCAAAGGATCCAACCTGGCAGAGGGCCTAGGATAAAACAGGAGGGAAAAAAGTCTTCATACATGGAAGACTCCGCATAACAGACATGCAGCACGGCAGCTGGAAACGGCCGCACACGGAGGGAGCGTGAAGCTGAGCGGGAGGCACACGGTTTCCACGGTGAAAGAATGGAAAGGAGAGGCCTTCCTCGGTAGGAGCAGAAGGCTCCCAAGGACACAGGAGAAAGTGGAAGCCCGCAGTGGGAGCGAAGCAGAGGCGGCAGGCCTGGACCGAAGCAGACACCACGCCTGGCCGCCAACACTGAGGCCGGGTGGGGTGGGTCTGGAACACCAGAGTCTGAGGGGCGCAAAGGACAGGAAGGGACGTCTTCTGGGACGGTGACGCCTGAATCCAGCTGTACACCTAACGCCTCCTGGGATGTTCAACATGCAGCCTGTCAGGCAACACCAGGCCCAGGAAACTGCCAGGTCTGCGAACACAGGTGCCTCTCTCTTTCTGTATGCATGAAGAGCAAATGGTATACAACAGGCACGGTGCTACAACCTGAGAGACTCACTGAAAGTAAACTCTTACTGAACTGGGTAAATGTACTAAATGTTCACATTCCTCAAAGGAGGAAGTCTTGAGCTGGGTGTGATGGCACACACAGGTAATCCCAGCACTTGTGAGGCTGAGGCAGGAGGATCACGTGAGCTTGAAGCCAGTCTGGATTAGGGAGTCCAAGCCCAGTCTGACTACATAATGAGGTCCTGTCTCCAAAAAAAAAAAAAAAAAAAAAAAGAAGTCTTAAAAAGCTAAAAGTTTTATTTAGTCTCTATTTTTAAAAAGGAAACAGGAGAAAACCCTTCTCCATTCTCTCTTCCTTTTTTTATGTATTGTTTAGCATACGCGCCGCCGAAGCGAGCACACACTCATTGCTAAGACATCGTAATTCTTACCTTTGCTGCTAAGGCCTTTAAACTGTCAAGAAATCTTTGCCAGAAATCCTTGAAGAGTGGGCGGTCAATTTTCTTCAGACTGTCTTTGGTGCTGGCATCCACACTGACATACAGCTGAGTAACTGGCTTCAGGTTTCTTGGTAATTAAACAGAAGAAAAGAAAATTATGCCTACCTAGGCTTTTCATGACATAGGATTCACAATCTGTAATCGATGTGGTGCGTAAACACTGCCTTGGGCTCCAAGGCTTCTACTTTGCCCGGAAGGCTGAAGTAATGACTGAATGAAGTGATACAGAGACTCCCTGGTTATTTATGTTAAATGACTGGACACCACCCCTAATAAATTGAAAACATTAATTACTTGAAATCAGTAACTTTTCCAACACTAGGTTTTAATGGAAAATAAACACAATTAGATCTAATTTTAGCATCACCTTGGCAGTTAGAGGAGCTCTTAGACCGAGCTTTTTTCCCCATAAACTCTGCTACCCAGACTTCTGCAGCTGAAACCTCGAGACTGTGCAGGTTCTGGAAGCAGAAGTAAGCCCGTGTGAGCAAGCAGTGACTCACAGGGAAGTTTTAAGCAAAGCTGGAATGGGACTCGGGACAGAACTGGCTGCTGGACATGCGTACTACTCTCTGCCTCCAACCACTGTCCATGAATATAGTCAGTCTGGACTCCTCTCAAATCCGTAACTGCACACTTAGCTATTACGTATTTTGCAAATTATGCTTTACATCTAGACTGCATGTTTTCCAAAGCTTCTCCCTGTCTTCTGTCTGTCAAGTGGATTTCATAAACACTTCTCTTCCATGAAGTTCGGACTAGAAGAAAGAAATCCCTTCTTAATAATCCTCGTACCAAATTCTCCCACAATTAATTTTCTACAATTCCTCCACAGTATTTCACATTTACCTCTAGAATGTTGCTTACATGTTATTTTTGTTTCTTTTTTTTTGGTTTTTGGTTTTTCTCCAGGACCAGGAATCGAACTCACGACCTTGTGCTTGCCAGGCAGGCGCTTTGCCGCTGAGCTAAATCCCCAGCCCTGTTATTTTTGTTTCAAATGCAATGCATTTTAAAAGACAGAAATAACTCACTTGCCACAAAATTCACCATTTTAAAGTGGTCTGTGTGCTTTTTACATCTATCAGTATCAACCTTATCAAGTGACATAAGACGCTGAAGGGCTGGCTTTGTATCCAGCCACATAGGCAGATACTTGAGGCTACTTTTTAGTGACTGTAGTTGACTTAGGCAGGCAAAACGTTTAAGGGAATGTAGGCCAAACAAGTATTTGCAATGATCTGGCTTAGTGACATACGAAAAGTAACAAGTGTCTAGACCCAAAGTTATTAAAAGTGAAGAAGCTCTGACCACAGGGAGGAGGGAGGTGACTACAACACAGGCGGATTCCGATTGTTTTAAACCCCTGCAATACTGATATGCAGGGGAAACCCCTACAAGTTCCGCAGTGTGTCACTGCCACGCAAGGCACTGATTACTGAGCATGTAAAACAACCGCATCTGTACGCGCAGCCTCTGTCTCATCGCTCCCTGGCTGGAGGCCTCTTCAGTAAGGGACAAGCGATGCTATTTTAACTCGTACCCGAAAAGGTTGCCTGCGTGCTTCCTGCGCGCTGTCACCATCGGATATTTGCAGGACGTTGGCATACGGCTTCCTGTGCAAAATGGGAAGGGCTCGACCTCTTCACTATGCCTCCGTAACTACTTAAGATGATGGATACTAAAGCCCATAGGCCGCTCTTCTTGTACAAACTACTGTTACTTTTACAAAAAGAAAGCCCTGGATGTGACAGCACTATAAAGGAACTGTAATCAATACTAAATGCCTGAGAGCTTGCAATCAAGGAAGTCTATAGCTCTTCTGCCAGGGAGCAGAGAAAGGATGGAAAAGAGGAAAGGTCCCTAGAATTTTAGAGTTCATTTCTGAGGCGCTGTGCAGCAGAAATGGGGTCTTGAAGGGGGTCTTCCTAAGCCTTGGGGGTCTCATTTCCTCTTAGTCCTGGCCCCCATGCACCAGGCCTGGCAACGAGGCTCCCAGCTCAGTCATCCACCTGTCTGTACGGAGACCGCACCACTTTAGTTTCTAAAAGGCAAGAGAATGTTGTATCATTAAAGCCACCATAATAATCCCTGTGTTGGGGTTGGGGATTTAGCTCAGCAGCAAAAGCACCTGCCTGGCAAGCGCAAGGTCGTGAGTTCGGTTCCCGGTACCGGAGGAAAAAAAAAAAAAATCCCTGTGTCTGCGAAGCTCACATCTCTGCTAATAACAATTAAAAAGGACAACACTTGGGACACAGAACCTTAACCCCAACCCCCAGTAAAAGCGGTCAATAACTCTTGATGTGATTATTACAATGACCTTTCATCTTAATTTTAAATCTGAGTCAAGAATGATCCTATGGGGCAGGGGATATAGCTCAGCGGCACAAGCACCTGCCTGCAAGCACAAGGTCATAAGTTTGATTCCTGGTACCAAAAAACAGAATGATCCTATGTAGAAATGCACCAACTATTGAACATAAAAAATCCGTTTCCATCTTTTCCTTTCTATGGACATTATTAAATGTCATTCTACCCTGCAAGGAATATAGCTTGGTAGGTAGAATGAGGCTTAACAATATCTACAGAAAGGAAAAAGGAGAGAGATTTTATGTTTGTAAGAAATCCAAGTAAATAGGAAGTTTGATTCTCCCATTAAGACAAAAAATAACCAGAGTGGTCCAAACATCCAGTGTTATTAGAACTCAAATCTCTACGGCAATCTGGGGCTGTCAGAGCGGGCCAAATAACTAAGCAGAGAAGGATGGAGGAGGAGAAGAGCACTAGCATTCGCTAGGGCCAACATGACGCCCTGCGCACACCGGGCCACCTGCTTCATCCTCCTCCTCAGATCCCTGAATCCACACAGAAAAACCAGGCAGCTGCCGCTTAGGCCCATTTTCAAGATGAAGCTGAGGTTAAGGAGCTAGGCAGCTTGTACACGATTCCATGCAGAATTACTGCCAACACGAGGCCCAAGTCTCCCAGAAGCTCCACGGCCCACCTTCCTGACCCTGCACAAAATTCAAAACATGGGTCGGTATTCTAATCCCTGCAGAAAGGTGATAGATACCCAAAATCCCAAAACGGCACTGGCCAGGACACACTTCTTTGTTCTTCTTCAGGCCCCAAGATAAGCTCACCGCCTCCTTTCTTCACACGCACGCCAACCCCGTCCAATCCAACCCCACCACAATGCCTTGCGCATCTTCCTCCCTTGTGTCTCCCTCTCCTCACTATTAGCTAATCCGCCTCTATCTAAGCCAACACACCCGCCCGTCCTTTGAGGGTCTCTGCAGTCTTAGCAGCCCTCCCGCGCCAGCAATGAAGGCTTGTTTTACCTGCCTCTGTCTCATGCTCTACCTGCTGCCAAACCTAACAGAAGGTAACGGTATCAAACTCCGAGAGGACACAGGTAACTCATGAAATGCGGAGTATGACCACTATCCTAAAAGAAGCCCAAACTAAGAGCCTTCAGGAAGAAATGCTGAACTCGGCTTCTTTCCACAAGCTACGTTCTCATCCCACCCACGCCAACACAGGCTCGGCCTGCCACACGCAGGCTCAGGAGGGACGAGACACGGACGAGCCTCCCAGGAGGTGCCAGCGCCGTGGCTACGCTGGGTAGAGTGCGGCGGGAAAATCTAAGAAGGTGATTTCTGAGAATTAAGGAAGATCTAACTGTAAGGTAAAAGCCCTACTGACCTCTGGAGGACAGTGCTCTGCGGAAGGGAATGAGATCACTTCTCAGATAACCAAAGGAGAAGCACAGGCAAAGGCGCAGAGCTGTGAGCTCCAGGGTAAAGGAATCCCCCGCCACGCCCAAGGCTCTCACACAGGACATGGGACTAGCCATCGCCTGTGGCCAGGTTCCAGCGCCCACAGCAGTCAGCCTGGGCTGACTCAAGCTCGAAACAGCCTAGTGGAGCATGGTGGCGCACACCTGCAATCCCAGCGCTCAGACGGCTGGGGCAGGAGCATCGCTGCGAATCTGAATGCAGCCTGGGCTACATGGTTCAAGGCCAACCTGAATTACATAACAAGACCCCGTCTCACAAAAAAAAAAAATCTAAGCAGCCAGTGACACAGGCGGTCAGTGCTGAAGCAAGTTAACTGGCTTCCGGCTGGGAAATCACTTAACGCAGTGGCACACTGCTCTGTTCTGCACCTGGCTTTTCTCCTACACTTCTCACCAGTCCAACAAACCTACTCTCCCAAAATCCAAATCCTCCAAGAAAACGTTTTATTCTGTTTGAAGCCAAACTTAACAGAAGCAAAATCAGACTTACTGTGGGGCCTTTTTGATTCCTAATTTTTCCATTTGTGTGAATAAGCTTGTTTTGTTGCAGAACTAATTATACGTGTGGCACAGGGTGCTACATAAAATGCACTGTATGCACTGTACTGCCTTTCTGAAATCTGGAAACAAGCCCAGCATGGTGGCGCACATCTGTAATTACAGCACTCTGGAGGCTGAGACAGGAGGATCGCTGTGAGTTCAAGGACAGCATGGACTACGTAGTGAGCTCAAAGCCAGCTTCAACAACATAGGGAGAGCGTGTCTCAGAAAATAAACCAAAAAAAAAAAAAAAAAAAAAAAAAAAAAAAAAAGACATCTGGAAAGACTGGGGTGCGAAGGATAAGATACTGGATAAAAACCTCTTAAAAATTATCCCCTATCAAGACACAAAACAGCTTTTTTGTTTTTACATGTATTTTTATAACTGCAAGAGACGACTGGCATGAATGTACTTTGTGATTTCTCTTTGGTGCATGTTTATTTAACCCTGTGTTACTGGATGACTCATCATTCTCAGGCTTTTCTTTGGTTCTCTGGAAACACTTGGGTTCTTGGAACACATTTTAAAATAGTTGAAGTCTTTGTCTATTAAGTCCAATCTCATCACCCTCAGGGCCAGATTCCATCAGCCTTTTCCTTGTCTGTGTGTAGGTCAGACGCTCTTGCTTTTTTGTATGTTTGTAATTTTCTCTTCATAAAAACTGGACATTTTTAAACATTTCAAGTTATACTACAAGGCAAGTCTGGCAATGCGATGTCTCTCAGCA